AGACACGGAGAACCGCGGTCTCCTGACCATGGCCGGCTTCTGCCAGGTCCTGCGCCTCATCGGACACTACCAGGCCGGCAGAGACCCCGCCCCAGAGCTGGCCTTTAGACGTATGACCTCAATGGCCCGTAGCATAGCCATGCGCTGACACTCCCGCAGCTGCGCCCCTGCCCAAGTTCGAGGGCTTGAACATCCCATCCGCTCCTCCCGCCGCCCCGAGCTTCTCTCCACAACCCACCGGTTCGATACAACCTCAGATGAGCGGCAACGGCCCCATCCGCGTGCCTCCGCTAGTACCCGCCAAGGCTGCTGAATACGCAGGCTTGTTCGAGAAGTCTGGTGCCGTCAATGGCGTGCTCTCTGGTATGTATCTCGATATGCGAATAGGGCGACTCTCTAACACCCCCAGGCGAGAATGCAAAGGAGATCTTCGAGAAGGCGCGGTTACCCAATGAAGTCCTCGGTCGCATCTGGAACCTCTCCGACACGGAGCAGCGCGGCGCTCTGAACGTCACCGAATTCATCATTGCCATGCACATGCTCGCTTCCTACCGAACTGGCAACATGAAGGCCCTCCCGACCGCCCTACCCCCAGGCCTGTACGAAGCTGCCTCGCGACGAGGACAACTCCCACCTCCACCAGGCCGACCAGACCAATCCATGTCCATCCCACGCCAGTTCAGCGGTCAACAAAACCAGCCACGGCAATCGAGTCCCCTTGGGCGAACACCATTTGGAGCACCGGCCCCAGCACCCCAACCGACCGGCAGCGATTGGCTCATCAGCCCACAAGAGAAGGCGTCATACGACAACCTCTTCAAGACGGTCGATACCATGGGTCGCGGTTTTATCACTGGCGACCAGGCAGTGCGCTTCTTCAGCGATTCCGGCCTGCCCGAAGATGTCCTCGCAGGAATATGGGACCTCGCAGACATCAATTCGGAAGGTCAGCTGTCCAAGGACGAGTTCGCAGTCGCAATGTACCTCATTCGTCAACAACGGAAGGGAGACCAGCTTCCAGCAACGCTACCACCCAGCCTGATCCCCCCGAGCCTACGAACAGCCGCCAACCAAGCAGTACCCGTAGCCGCTCCTCAGCCAGCGCCACCCGTTCCTCGCGTTGCCAAATCAGCTGCAGATGATCTCTTCGGGCTCGACGCCTTCACAGCACCGGCTCCTGCTCCTCAGCAACCGCAATCGACAGGCGGCTCGGCTACCTTCAGCAAGCCATTCGAGGCTGATCCTTTCGGAAGCAAGCCAACTTCGCCCACGTCTCCTCACCCATTCCAGCCTCAACCGCGAAACCCCGCTTCCACCTTCAAGCCGTTCATGCCTAGCTCTTCATTCGGTCAGACCCTTACTGCGCATTCCACAGGTCAATCGGGTACCTCTGGCGCGCCACAACACTCCACACCATCCGCAATGGACGATTTGCTGGGTGGAGAGGATGTTGCTGAGATCAACAAGAAGCTGACGCAAGACTCGACTGACCTGGCCAACATGTCTAACCAGATGACCACTCTCCGAAACCAGATGCAGGAAGTCCAAAATAAGAAGACTGCGACCGAGGGCGATCTCAACAGTGTCAACACTCAGAAGCGCGATCTCGAGCTGCGCCTCTCGCAGTTCAAGACCCAGTACGACCAGGAAGTCAAGGCTGTCAAGGCGCTAGAGGACCGACTGGCTGCCTCTCGCAACGAGACCCGCAAGCTGCAACAGGATCTTGCTATGATCGAGGGCTCTTACCAGGATCTCCAGAATCAGCACCGCCAGGTGGGAGGCCAACTTGAGGCTGACCAACGTGAGAACAACAGCTTGAAAGAACGCATCCGCCAGCTCAACACCGAGATCGGACAGCTGCGTCCTCAGCTTGACAAGATGAGGAACGATGCCCGACAGCAGAAGGGCATGGTTGCTATCAACAAGAAGCAGCTTGCTACCAATGAGGGAGAACGCGACAAGATCAGGAACGAAATGAACGACTTGACCAAGTCGCAGGAAGAGGGCACACGCAGTCCACAAGCCCAGACCCCCGCCGTCGCCGTCAGCCCCGCAGCGTCCACTACAAGCCAGAGCACGAACCCCTTCTTCCGCAAGTCGCCCCAACCCGTTGCGGAGAACACCATGTCGCCATCTGGATTCGCACGTGAAGGCCCGCACAAGGACTTTGACAGCGTTTTTGGTAGCTTCGGCACTCCTCAAAGCACAGCACCTCCCGTCTCTTTCCGTCCCGAAAACCAGAGCCAAGGTCCCAGCTTCTCTGTTCCATCCGGCCAATCAGTACGCTCTTCCGAAGGACCTGACGTTCCCACACCGTCTACCTCACCCCCTCTGTCTTCTTACCAGGAATCTCCCCGCGCTGCAGACCCGCCAGCTCCCCCCGAGTCGCGTCAATTCGGCTCTTCATTCCTGCCTCTGAGGGAAGGTGGCCAACGATCCGACTCCTTCAGCTCTTCCGTGCGAGCTACTGCTCCTGCCAGCAGATACGGTGGCCCTGGCAACGAGACACCTACAATTTCCCAGGCATCTCCTGCGAGCACACCAATAGCAGAGAAGCCCACGGTAGAGCGAACTGAAACCAACCGCACAGAAACCGACAACTTCAACCCTTCTCTGTTCAACCGTAACTTCTCATCAGCATCTCCTGTAGCCAGTATCACCAGTGATACTCAGCGCTCAACCAGGGCTGAGGACCGTAAGGATGCCTTCTCTAACTTCGGAGCACCTTCAGCTGGTGTTGACATTCCTGGTGCCTTCCCACGTGAGGCTGCTACGCCCCTTCAGCAGAACCAAACCGGAGAGAGCAGTCTGAGCGCCCCCAACAGGAACATCAACCGCGCCGACCCCTTCGGCAGCACTTCTGGTGAACAACCTCGTGGAGGCAAGGATGATTTCGATGCGGCATTCGCTGGCTTCGGTCCCAGTCGTCAGAACACTGCTACTGCATCCACCACAAGCGCACCCGCGGATAACTCCAACAGGTTCAACAAGGAGTTCCCTCCGATCGAGGACCTCGCTCACGATGATGACAGCGACAGTAACGATGAGCGCGGATTCGATGATAACTTCACATCCGCGTCGCCAAACCAGAAGCGTACTAGCACAGGACAAGAGCAGCGCTCTCAGCAACAGCAGCGCCCAGGTACTGCGTCAAGTGACGAGCTGTACAGAGCCCCGCCGCCAACTACCCGCCTAGACTCCAACATCGGCGGCTTGCCCTCTCCTAGCGCACAGAAGTCCCCACCCACCTACGAGTCCAGTGTGAACCAGACCAGAAGTGGATCAAACCAATTCCCCCCTGAGTTCGGTGGTCTTCTTCCTGCTCGCGAAGACCCAACGTCACCAGGATCTCCTGACACCGCGCAAGGCCCGGAGAAGTCGTACAATCCTCCTGGCGGCCACGGCGCTGCTCTATTTGGTGGCCCTTCGAAGTCTGCGACCACATCGCCCCCTCCTCTAGATACTCCATCATCGACCGTTCCATCCGATCAATACCACTCTGCAGTATCGTACGGTGCCAATGAGAACAACAAGGGCCCATCGCCTTCCAGCAACGTCCCCCAACTCGGCAAGTCTGCCTTCAACGATGACTTCGACGCCGGATTTGATGATCTAGCAGATGCCAAGGAGGATGACCGCGCTGATGACGACTTCATGTTCTCTTCGCAGAACCGTGAAGGTCTCGACGAGTTCAACCCAGTGTTTGACTCGCCAGCTGCCTCCAAGTCAAACACCATGGCTTCTCAGCAGACTCCCACCGGCAAGCCTCGTGGTGATGACAGCTTCAGTGACTTTGAACACCTGTCGCAGACCTTTGGAGGACAGCCCCAGCAGCCTCAACCCGCTGCCTCGTCCCAGGACTGGGATGCCATCTTCTCCAACCTCGAGTCGTCGCAAACCGACAAGGGCTCGCACTCGCAGCAAGCATCCACTGACTTTGGCAAATCTGTCTTTGACACTCTCGACAATGAGGAGGCTGCTGCATCTTCATCCAAGTCTCAGGGATTGTCGCCTCAGATGCCCTCGCTCGGTCGTGCAATCAGCACTGGAACCGAGCATGACGACCCTATCCTCAAGAAGCTGACCGGTATGGGCTATGGACGTAACGACGCCTTGTCTGCGCTCGAGAAGTACGACTACGACATCAACAAGGTAAGCAATGCAACCACACTCAATATAAAAGAAGGCTCAAACTAACAACTCTTGATAGGCCGCCGACCACCTGGCTTCCGGAGGAAACTAAACACTCCAATCATTCCCACTCCATACCGCCACCCACACTCGCGTACCCCGGATCGCTCTTTTGTATGAGTACATATGTTTAGCATGGCTTTGTCACAACAAACTTTTCATACCCTTGAGCGTTGGACTTCTCTCCCTCTCCGTATTATTCACTGTCGCTGCGACGCACGCCCTTTCCTTTGTTCACGCTTACTCTTCTTGTACTAAAGCTTTCACTTGAGACGGAGGCTTTTGGGCCAGTCTTGGTGCTGGCTGTGTAGTAGGGAGGATTGGGTCTGAGCGACTGCTGCGTTTTGTGCACATGGTTAGTTACTTAATCTAATTCGTTCTTTGGTTGATTGATGGAATGTTGTGTGCTTGTGATGTAGTGAATACGTGTTTCGATGTTAATTGGAGCTATAGGCTGGATGTGGTTGTATACTCCAATCGTCTCTCTACAGATCGATCTCTCTCTCTTATTAAAGAGCATCTATATCTTTAGGCCTAAATAGGCTTATAGAGTTTTATAGTTCTCGTTATAGAAGTATCTTTTAATAATTTAACAATTTTTTTATTTGTAGCTTATCTTTTAAGTTAGCTGCTAAGCCTAAGACTATTATTTAAGCTATTTGTGCCTGTAGGTTAGCAGAAGGCCTGTTTTCTTATAAATCTTACTTGTAGGAGAAAGCCTTTAAAAGCTAGAATGTTTGTGTATTTAAACAAATTTATTCATTAAAGAGCATCTTGGCGTATGGCACGGCTGTGCGTTGCGTACATTACTAGGGGGCTCGTCGTCGATTACAGAATCTGTTCTCCCATCCATACGGCCCTTCAAAGTCTCTGTTGTGCTTATGGTCCATGCTGTAAACAAATCCGGTCAGAGCATCTTGGTCGTTCCACCGCGTTCTGAAGGCTTCGCGCACTTTGACCGTGGTTTCGTCGTCGAGTGTGGGGTGTCGCTTGAATTCGTAACCGAGAAAGTATGGCATGAGGGCTTCTTCGATAAAGTCGTCATTTTCGTCGTCGTCTACGTCGTCTGCGTTGTCTGCGTTGTCTACTTCTTGCTCGTCCTCCGCAGCACGCGGACGAAAGATGAAATGCTGTGTTGGATCTGCGTTACTGGCTTCTTCTTTCTCCTGTCTCTTGTTAGCCTACTCATTGATACACATAGGGTTCTAATGAGCATTCCAAATACCTTGCGCCACTCCTCCTCCGTCATACCGAATAGTTGACCCCTAGGCCACCACCTTCCCCGTCCTCTCTTGGGATTGATCAGGTATCTTACAGAGACATCACTGACCTGCCTCCAACTCGGGTCCTTCATGTGGTCGAGATTTGCTTGGAAGATTCGAATCGCTTTGCCTCTATGTATGAGGTCGTACACGGGTTGTCGTAGCACCTCGAGGATGTTGAGCATGACTCGCCTGTCCTCCATTGAATAAGGATATGGCTTGTTTCCCCACGCGTGGAAAGATGTTTCAAGACGAATGCAGATCTCGTGGTTTCGCTTTGTAGGTAATAGCTGGAGCGACTGGAGGTTATTGTACATAGCCATTAGTTCATCTCCGCTCTCTAGGTTCGTCTCGTAGAAGTTAAGTGCAAGCGTGAACTTGCGGATTAACTCATATGGCTTTGTACCCATCTGGAAAGGGTCGGCTTTGAACAGCTTGATCATCTCCTCATCCGACGTGATGTAGAAAGTGTTCGTTGAATAGTAAGCTTCGGCGAGTTCTTGCGCGACCTGCACTCCAAAGTATGCCGGGTCCATGGCCCAGGATTTGGGCTGCACATGTAGTTTTTCGTCCCATTTCGACCAGTCCTCTGAGTTATATTTTCCGATGCGTACTTTGCTGCCGTATACATGACGCTTGCCCGTCAGCTCACAGGGTTGAGCGTTCGGCCCGACGATATACGCATATACCGTGTTGCGGAGCTCCAGGGGTAATGAAGCGTGAATCTTGTTGGTCAGTGCGCGACATGATTTTCTTGCTGTGATTGCTGCCTCCACTGCCCTTTCGCGTCGTATAGGGGAGGCGATGCATCTACGCGTTTTTCGCGATTAGCAGAGGGAGTGATTGTGGGAGTCATGGATCGTACTTCGGCCTGCAAATGAGCTCACCGTTGAAGTTACACTGGACACCGAGCCCCACTGGTTCAACGGAGCCGTCAGGCAAGACGCGCTCGGATAGCCATTCGGATGATGACATGGCTGGTGGAGGTAAGGTGAGTTCGTTGAAGGGTCGCGCAGGAAGATGGCAACAGCTGAAGGTTATGTACGTCCGCGGCATAAGGTTCCGCTCTTACTGTACCCATAGATGACAGGGATCCCACTAGCTCATTCGAAACCTAATCTCCATAGCAAAGAATATGCATAGACGCTTGCGCCTGCAGCGCGTTGCATTGGTCCATCACTCGAAACAAGTCGCAAAGTCACTCGAAACGTGATAAGAGGTTCGATTAAAATAGTTCCGCTCAACCCCAGCACCCCATCGAACAAGAAACGTGCACATCATACGCTCATACATGCAACATCTTCCCACTCAACACATAGACACCCTAAATCTTCTTGTCATTAAACCTTCGAAACACCAACAGCAACAGATTCAGTTCTCACAGCAGCATCAACTTTCTCTTCATAGCGGTCAAAAGCAGCAGTCCCCTGGATATGGCTGTCCTCAAACACATCGACAGTCGTGCTTGCAAACTTGCGCGCGCTGACGCGCTTCTCGAAGAGGAGATCAAGTTCAGCGAAAGAGCGGCCCTTGGGTTCGGGTAGGCGGAAGTAAGTGTAGATGATACTTAGGAAGCAGGAGCCGGCCCAGAAGAATCCGGCGTAGTTGCCCCTGGGGTGTGGTTAGTAGAGGAAAGAAGGAGAGCAAGGGAGAGAAGGAGGGACGTACCAGTTCCAGGCTCCGGGGTTGAGCATGTAGGGCGTGAGGACGGAGGTGATGATGCCGATTACGTTGTAGAGGTTGCGGCCGAGTACCACGGTCTTGATGGCGAGGCGGCGGGTTGAAAGCTCAGCAACGAGAGAGTAGCATACGGTGCCGACGGTCAACTGGTAGAACATAGCCCATACGATCATCATAGCTCCGGTAGCCATGGCGCCCTTCTCCCGCTGGGAGGCTGGTACCAGGCCAAGGAAACCCATGACGAAGAGCATAACGCATAGCCCACAAAGACCACCTAGGTAGAGTGTTCGACGTCCGAAACCGACTTTCATGAGGTACCAAGCGCCAAAGACACCGGCCATGTTAATACCGTACTGACCCATTGCGAAGTCATACGAAGTCGATGCGGGTAGACCGGCCTGTTGGAGGAAGTAGGAAGAGTAACCCGAGAAAGCGTTTCCACTCAAGTTCTGCATCGCCCAGGCCATGCAGACAATCTCCGTACGACGCAAATCAGTACCCTTAAAGCAGTCCCAGTAGCTGGCTCCCTGGGTGATCTTCTCTTCGAGGGCGGTGGTGTGCACCATCATGGCCACCGTTTCGTCGGCATCGAAATCAGTTTCTCGGTCCAAGCTGGTGAGTCGAAGCAGGGATTTCTTCGCGTCTTCGATTCTTCCTTTACGGACTAGCCACCATGGCGACTCGGGCGCTAGGAAGACACCGATGATGAGGGGGACGGGCCACATCCATTGGAGGGCGTAGGGGATGCGGTATGACCATTCGTCATCACGGTCGACCATGGAGCGGATGACACCGATACCGATGACTTGACCAAGACCCCAGCAGAAGTTGACGTAGGTGGTCACTAATTGATGTGAGCTTGTGTATGTGAAAGTAGAGCTTGGTAAACTTACAGTATCCACGCAGAGCAACAGGGCAGACCTCGCAAGCGTATGTGATAGTAAGTGTCTGGAAGACACCCCAGGGGATACCACAGAGAATCTCCGCAATCAGCAAGTGCACCACCGTCTGAGCTGTGAAGAAGATGGTGGTGAACCCAATGATCAGAAGCAAGCATCCCATGACAGTGTAGCGGTATCCGATAGCCTCACTGATCCACCCATTGAGGAAAAGACCAATGATCTCGCCCACAATGACTCCGTTCGACAGTCCAGCTTGCCATGGCGCTGGAATCTCCCAAGAGCCGTCCGGAAGCTGCTCGCCGTACTTTTGCTTGAACTGCGGGAATCCGAAGAAGTTGTTCAGCAGGCAGACATCGTAGCCTTCCATGACGATACACGTGCTGATAAGGACAGACCATCCAATCGCCTTGGGATAGAGTTTGATACCCTGCATCAGCGTCATCTTGCGTTCGTTGTCCGTGGCAAGCCGCGCATCGTCAACAAGCTTGTTAGCAGCGCGCTTGTGATCGGACTCATCATTCTCTCCATAATGCTCGAACGGGGGCGCGGTAGTAGGCTGAATCTCCTTCTCTTCCGCCATGACTGCTCTCTTCCGTGAACTCTCCTTGCAAACCAGAGAAATTCGGGCCGATGTCGATCCGGCCAGGGCTGGGCTGCTTTGGGAACGATAGTGGGGTGCTGCAACGCTGCTCCACACACTCTCGAACCAGGACAAAAGTAAAGAGAAATCCGGGGAAACTGCTACCGTGACATTGGGTGGTAGGACATGAGGCGGTCTTTAAGCATAAAATTTTGCGGGGTCTAGCATGGCTTTTGGGTAAGCGTGGTTGTAGCGGCGAACCATGCAAGCCAGGGTCTGGGTCGCGTGCAGACAGGTGGAGCTTTCATCTCCTGCGGCCGTGCGCGGACGTGATTGGGTCGTCCCATATGCGACCTTCTTGCTACGGGTTAGGAAGACAGAGACGGATGCTGGTGGCTCGGGTAATTCTTCGTTCACATGGTCTCGTGGCACGCCTGGTGCATGCCCAGCTGGCCTGTCCTTGGCCAGAGCGTGGGTGTTCACGATCGGAGCGGTGGCCGACAAGCTGACCGTTGAGCTGGAGTACTGGCGCATGCTATGTGCATAGCTAGGTCAGCCACACCGAAAATCGGCAATAGCGACCGCGCCGTAGTGAATTGCTGATAGCTGTGATGTCGGAGGTTGTTGCCAGTGTACGCAAGGAATCGTACAAGTAAGCCCAAGAAGGAGTTTGCCGAGGTAGCGCCTTCGGCTTTCACCCGTACCTGGCGGTGTAGTGTCAAACGGCATGTTGAACATTCTAGAAGCTGTGGAATGTATTGCATCTGCATCAAGATGGTATTGATCTAACAATGTTCCTTGTTTGTGTCTTTAAGCCCGTGCAAGCTACATCAAGTAGTCCTGTGTCCATTCGCGGGCTCCTCAATAGTGTCATCCTCCTCTACACCAGTAATTGCTTCCGGTTCTTCACTTCGCGGCTGTACCCGTCCGCCAAAGAATGCGAGAAGCAATAAATCATACGCCGCTTTCAAGCTACCAGCTGCAACAAAAGCGACCCAGAAATGATCGTTCCCAGCAAGTACACCAGTAAGACTTGGTCCACTGCTCTGGGATAGTGTCTTGAGTATATTGACTACGCCCATAACGGCGGTTCGCTCTTCTGGTAAGACCACAATCGAGAGAAAGGCTGATCGAGGGGCCTGATCCATAGAGTTGAGCACAGAGCGACCAACGAGCAGGCAGATGGTTAAAGCTAGTCCCGACGGTACAGGCAGTAGCGCGAGAAATATAGAAGAAGGCAGATGAGTGAAGACCATTGCTTGGATTAAGCCGAGACGTTTGGCTAGACTCGAGGCGAAGACATTTCCAAGTGTCGACACAAACCTGTATGTTCGTAAGCGTGTGGTTTAAGGCATACTTCGATCAGGTTGTGACTTACCATGTTGCAGACATGATGCCACCTAGCTTCCCTTTTGGTAGATCAAATTTACGTTCCATGTAGTAGTTGATCAAGCTAAAGGGGACCATCCCCGAGCCCAAAGAATCGAGGAAGAACAAGCTGCAGAGTTTAATAAGAACAATGCGACTCGACTTGGAGATCTTGCTTAGGGAATGCCAAAACTTCTTAGGCTTTTTGGGGGCTGCGTCTCGAGTTGCAGTATCTCGACTCTCTGTTTCGTCATTGTTCAGCAACGGCTCGGTCTCAACTGATACAGCAGACTTGTTCCGTTCATCGTTCCAGTCGCTGTGCTCGCATCTCTGGCTCAGGAACAGAGTCATCAGCGCCTTGACACACCCGACCCCAGTGTAAATCCAGAAGATGGCGCGATACGCATCCAGATCCGTCCAACCCTCGATAGCCTGCAGGTTGTCGACCGCAACACCACCAACTGCCAACCCCGTTGACGTGCCCAGTACAGCCAAGACGACATACCAAGTGTACACGTCCGACCTCTTGTCCTCGGCTACCAGGTGCGCTAACGTCGACTCCTCCACAGCTCTGAACGGCCCGATCTCGTTCCCACTAGGACTGATGACACCGACGATGGCTGCTAGAAGCAAAGCCACGTAGTTGCTTGTTGTTGCGAAAACAGCGCCGGATATTGCCATGGACACGGCTCCAAGGAGTAATGTCCGGCGCCGGCCTAGCGTATCCGCGACAAGTGTGAGGAGGAGGCTGATGACTACATCTCCGAGCAGCGTCAACGACATGAAGAGTCCGATTTGTTCATCTGAGAATCCTTGCTCTTGGAAAAAGAGTGCGAGGATAAGTGCCACGCTCCCGTATGCAAACAGACGGATGTACCGTGCCAGAATGAGGATGTAGACGTCTTTTCCAGCATGCTTCATTGTCGCGAGTCCCAGTTCGCGGCCGAGCCATTGTGCCGCTTTGACAGGCGCATCACGAACAGACATGCTCCGAGGTTCGGGATAGGGTGGGTATTATGAGCGTGGCGGAGTTGGTACACCTGGACTCTAAGACATTAAGAAGGCCAGAAGTTTTGTAGAAGGAAAAAAGAAGAGAAGAGGCTCTGGTTATGATTGCTTTTCCGAAGCCATGACGGACCGGAGTGTTTAGTGCTGCCTGGAGGCCTGGGGCCTAGTCGAGTTTCGCGTCATACGTCAGCGCCTGCATTTTACCGGATGCGGGAAGGAGCGAAGGGTACTCGGCATCCATACATGTCAAAGGGCGCATCAAGGGCGCAAATCAGTTGTCACAATATCACGCAGAGATCTTGATAAGTAGGACGTTAGCATCGAAGCTGTTGTTGAATCTTATCCATCAGTCGTGTGGTGGCTGAGCTGGCGTCTTCACATCACTAAAGCGCAAGTTTGTGTTTGTGGAACAGGCATCAAAGATCTAGGAGATGAAGTCTGATTGCCCATATTAAAGAACACCTGAGACACCGAAGGGAAGAGACCTAGTGGCCACCACAAATTGTAATGCAGACACCAGCACATCCCAGAAATCCAAACGAGAGCCCCCATTCTATGCGATCGGATGTCGCCATGCTAGCGCACAACTTCGGGATGGAAACGTGGAGGTGGTGACGAATGGGAGACATGGCGGTCATGTATCAGTGAGCATTATCGTAGTACTGCACCAACCCTCGCATGGCGTAAAGGCGGGAGCTCAAACACCCACGCCGTGCATTGCTCATCCGTAGACACCGGTCCGTTCTCCGACACATAACAACTCTTCCTCTTTCTCTAGCAGCAACCACCGCCGGATCCGTTTTGGACACCCTGGCCCTGGCCGATGGGGACTGTGGGCTTGGTGTTGGCGGTTGTGGTACCCATGCGCTCCTTGATCTGGCGGGCCATGGTCAGGAAAGCTTGCTCGACGTTGGTGGCGCTCTTTGCGGAGGTCTCGAGGAAGGGGATGCCGAGGCTGTCTGCGAACTCCTGTTTGAGCTGTTAGATGGTGTGCGTCCTCTGGGGTTAGCGAGATGACGGTACCTTTGCTACGGTGTACTCGACAACCTTCTTGTCCGCCATATCGGACTTGTTGCCGACCAACAGCTTGTTGACGCCCTCGGTTGCGTATCGGTCAATCTCCTGCAGCCACTGCTTTACGTTGTTGAAAGAGTCCATGTCGGTGACATCGTAGACGACGCAGATGCCGTGGGCGCCGCGGTAGTACGAGGATGTGATGGTTCGGAAGCGCTCCTGGCCGGCGGTATCCCACTGCGATGACTGTCAGCACTCACACCCAGATGCTGCATTCTGCAGTGTACGCACAATCTGTAGCTTCACCGTCTTGCCATCGAGCTCGATTGTTCGGATTTTCTGGGGCTTGTTAGACTATCGCCGACCGGGGCTGCAGGTGCGCGGGACAACGCACAAAGTCGACACCGATGGTCGAGATGTAGCTCTCGGTGTATGTGTCGTCGGCGAAACGGAGGAGCAGGCACGACTTTCCGACACCAGAGTCACCGATGAGGAGGAGCTTGAAGAGGTAGTCGTATCTGTCGAAGCGAGCCGTCAGCGGGAGCCTTGCATGGCAAGACGGGCAGCACCAGGGCTGCTGTCGATGGCAAAAAGTAACTCTGCGGGTCTTCACGTTAGCACAGTCGCACCCCCAGATCTGGCGGCGCTGTTCCCCGGCCTGTGGCGGTGGGCGTCGCGCGGAGGTTACGTACCACTCAGGGTTCATGATGGCGGTGTTGCGGGGGTGGAAAGAGGGAAGAGACTAAGAGATGTAAGTTGGGGGTGGTCAGAGGCAGTCGTTGTGGGGTATCGCGGGTCGTCGAGGCGGACGGTGTTAAGTAGAGGGTGATGGGGTGCAATGCGCGGATACCAGATGTGAATAGCTTGGCATTCAGCCAGGCCCAAATCCGTGGTCACAAGTTGCCGTAGCTTGTCGCGCCATCAACATCACATTCACGCCTGCTTATCTGCCGCCTAGCTTTGTCCAGTGAGACGCCCGCACGCCGTCTGACGTCTGACTCTGCTTTGTCTTGTTGCCAGTGAAAGACAGTCGCAGATCACGCATCATCATGTACAGTGCCAGGTGGGTGCCATCAGTGCACCCACGTGACAGCCGCCAGGGTCCACCGCCCCAGTCACTCAGCCATGGCACGCATCACCACCATCGATTACGAGTAGCCTTCACCTACTGATCATGGAATGGAGAATGTGTCATTCGTTTGCAGCAGTGTGCGGTCCGTCGTACGTCGTTGCCTTTGACGTAGCCCAACCTGCCAGCTCTAAAGCACCGTAACCCGAAACCCCCATATAGTACAGACATCAGGACAAGTTCATCGCTACATATTACATTATTTTGCCGAAAGCAGGGATCAGTGTTTGGGCCAACCAGAAGGAGAAGACCAGCTTGGGTCCTGTCATGAGCAGCTTGGGCGTCAGTCCCTTGAAGAAGGACGTGGGACCCTCGTGCTTCATCATGTTGGACACGATCCTGAAGCCGCTCTCGGGGTTCTCAAAGTTCCTGTTCTGGATACGCGTCTTGATGACATCGAGAGGGGCAGAGACGACAAGCGATGCGCTGGCTCCGGCGATGGAGGCGACAAAGTTTTGCGACCATGAGGCCGAGTTGTAGTCGGTGAGTTTGTAGAAGTACTCCTTGGCGACAGCGGATCCACCGAAGAGCTGGAGGTGTGTTAGTATTCGGATAGCTGTAAGCAGAGTGGTGTACATACTGCGAATGATCCTGGAGCGTTACGTGCTGCCGTCCATCCCCAACCACGGTACAGCCCGAGCCCTTCGTCGGAGATGATCTTGAACAGCCCACGGCCTCGGAAAGCCTCAGGGTTGGTTTGTCGCTTGATCTTGAGAACATCCAATGGCAGGAGGACAATCTCACCGATACCGATTATGGAACCGGCAGTCGCGTGCATGATAGCCTTGCCGTTGCCCTTGCCGAATGCGCGGTCGAAGCTGTCACCGTGGTTGTGGGCGAGGTAGTCGCGTACGAAGGGCTGTCCGCCGAACTTGTATACTCGTTGGAGGATCTGTTCCTGTCAGTCCGAGTTCCTGTGTGCTTGCACTTTTCCACGCACCTTGTATGCGGCGGCATATCCGAGACCGGGGAACAGTGAGAAGAATCGCCCAGAGACTGACGCGCCGGCTGCGTCTCTGAAGACGACCTTGTTGAGATGTGCAGCGTTCTCAATCTACATGTGTTCGAGTCAGAGGCCGTCGGGGTATTGTATGGTCCACATGTCGCACCTTGCCAATGTTGCTCATCAACCGCTTCGCCGTCGTGTCGACCGGGTGGAAGACCATGAGCTCTGCGATTCCCGCACATCCTGTGCATGTCAGATATGCTATATTGACTCCAGAATGGCCGATGTACCTGCACCCAGGACCCTAGCTGTGTTGGACTCCCTCTTGTACACCTTTGCGGACGAGTTGGTGCCGGCAGCGGCTTGCGCAACCTTTGCGGCGGCTTCAGAAGGTGATGGCGTCATGGTCGAGGATTTCAAGCAAAGCAGAAATGGACAATTGACAGGTGTGAGAGGGAGCAACAGCGCAAGGCAATTGCGGTACCGAGCAGTGAAGAACGGGAGCTAGAGATAAGATGCCCAACGATACCCGCTCTCAAAAAAAGTCGTCGGGGAAGCGAGTTCAACGTCCGGCATCGCCCCGCCAAGCACCACGCCGCTACCACACGCGCCCCCAGACGCGAAACTTTGTCCCTCCATCCCGACACGCACCGGCAGCATCACATCACGCGATTGAGGAGCACTCCGCCTGCTACACGTGAACTCTGCCTCGCGCAGCATAGAAATCTGTCAAGTCGGAAATTTGCAGTCGGCACGTGACGCGCATGATGAAGCCCGAGTCCTCAGATCGTAAGTAATTGACTAACTAGCTAACCACATCATACAAGAAGATTTATACGAAACAATAAACGCCCCTGTTCTACGCGCAATCAAATCCAGAATGAAAGGCTGTGCGCCTATCCTTTCCTCTCTGCAACCAAGCCAGCGAACTCGCCTAGCGACGGTGTCTGTAGAATCTCGAAGATACTGACTTTAGCTTTGACAACGCTACCCAACCAGTTCCGGAAGTCTACAGCAACCAAGGAGTCGACGCCGATGCTTGTGAGCGCATCAGCAGTGTCGATGGCGCTCGTCTCCAGATTGAACAAGTCGGCAACCTTGGCTACTAGCAGGTCTGTGACGACCTCCTTCGCTTTGCTGTCACCCGCCGACAGTGCCGATAACTGAGATATCAGTCCATCGATGTTCTTAGAGGACTCAGACTGTCCCTGAGCTGAGGCTTCTATCGCGGTATCATCGCCCAGTCGAAGAGTTCCCAATCGACGGTCATTCTTCACCGCTGGATCGTCTACCAACTTGCTGTATCCAGTGATACACGTAATGATCTGACTGTTTTCTGCCCGGCGTCGATTTGGGTTCCTGATTGCATCCTCGAACAATCGCAATACATGGGCAATCGGAAGACATTTCATGCCAAGGGCCTTCTCCACGCGGTTCTTCACCACATCGCCTCCTTGTGCGACATATCCGACATCGTCAATAGGACCAAGATCAATCGTCACAGCGGGCAGGCCAAGGGAAGTGCGGTATCGCGCAATCGCGTCCTGGAACGTACCGCCAGCGGTATAGTTGCTCTGTGACACGTTGCCGAGAACTGCCGTGGCGGAAGAGGTCGTGATGAAGAATTGAAGGTCAGGCAGGTTGTTGTGAAGGGCCCACGTACCAGTGACCTTAGGGCCAATGGCCTTCTGCCACTGCTCGAAGGTCATGCTTTCGAAGACAGTGTCATCAAGGATTGCAGCAATCTGAAGAACTCCACGGATCGGAGGTAACTCTGCCTTCACGTCTGCGAGGAGACTACAGACCGCTCCTTCGTCAGCAATGTCGCAGTTGCGAAGATGAACGTTGCAACCGTGCTCTTGCCCTTGTTCAACCAACGCCAACCCTTTCGGATGAGCGACAGCATTGCGGGAGACGATCAACAGATTCTTGACCCCCTGTTCCAACATCCACGAAGCAGTGGCAAGTCCGATGCCTCCAAGACCCCCGACGATCATGAAGGTAGAATCTGGAGCGTCTAGCCCAAGCGATGTTTCAGCCTTCGGGACGACATGAAGCTCGTCACCTGGCTGTGGCAGGATCACAGCACTGCCCATGTAGCTCCCACCTCGGACATACTGGAGCGCTTCATGGATCTCGGCCAGCTTGAAAACCTTGATTGGTGTCGCGGGTCTCGCCTCTTTGTGCTGCAACAATTCGATGGAGTTCGCCAATGCCCTGTGGAACATGGCGCCTCTCATCTCGCTGTACTGGAGGGTATCAAGACCAGTCATAGACACTCCGCGGCCAAAGGGCGACATGTCAAGATGCTTTGCCTTCTCGGTATCAGCCTTACCGATCTGCACAAAGCGACCAAATGGTGCAGTGCACTCCCAGGATGCCTTCAGCAACGGCCCAGTAACTGAGCTCAGCGTCACATCAACTCCCTCGCTATTTGTCTGAGACATGATAGCAGAAACGAGAGAGGCGGCTTCATCCTGCAGGATATGGCTGGGGGCGATGTTGTAATCTTCCAGCAGAACTCGACGCCCTTCGTCTGTTCCGCAAGTGACGAAGATCTCGGCTCCGATGTTCTCCGCCAGTGCAAGAGCAGCCTGGCCCACACCTGCCGTACCAAAGTGTAACAATACTCGCTCATGCTTCTGAAGTCTTGCGATGTCGCGCAAGGCTAAGCAAGCGGTGGAGTATGCATATGGGGTGGACGCGGCTTCCTCCCATGTAAGCTTGTCGGAAACCTTGACGACGTTGGTCCAATGAGCGCGACCGGCGTTGCTGATAGGTCCTTTGAAGATGCCGCACACTCGATCTCCAACGCGAAGTCCAGAGTCTCGTGTGTCCGGGCCAAGGTTCCTGATGATACCGCTGCTCTCATGCGCAACCGATTCGTCGTCTTCACTCGCCCCTACAATGTTCAGCCCAAAGGCTTTCGGTTCGATCTCAACAAATCCACTCGGCAGATCATCCACCGCATCAGATGTATCCACAAAGCAGGACTCTGCGCCAGATGTACCGCTGCCTGATGGTTGTAGGACGAGTGATTTGCCGGCGTAGCTGAACTCCTGCAGCTGAAGAGGTTTTGCGCCTCCGCTGACAGCCCGATCCTGTTCGAAATCCGGATGGATGCGGGGAACGTACAGGTTCTGGTCTTTGGCGGAATATTCCCAATCAATATTGACGTTCTCAGATGTGCTGTAGTCAAAGCTTTGCTTAAACACATGCGCAAGCATCAGGATGGTCTCGCTTGGCAATGATTGTTGGGGTGGCTCGCATGCCAACCGAACATATCGTGTGCTTGGATCTTCGCGTCGTAGAGTTCTCAAGAGACCAGTCACCTGCGCAAAGCGTGGATCTTCATCGTCGACAGCTCCACCAAAGCTCAGCCAAAGAATGCCCTTGGACCGAAGAAGGAGACCTCGGAGCTTTTCAAACGCACCGCGATCCATCGTATCGATGAAAGGTGTGCCATTGTCGAGCGCGATGATGAGCAGACGGTCACTGTCTGCCTCAACTTCATCGAGAGTCTCCACCGAGGGAGCTGAACCAGTAACGTGCTGCACGGCTCCTGACACTTGATCCAGCCAGGCTTGAGGTTCCGAAGCTGACGGTACGACAATGGAAATTGAAGACGGAT